AAAGAAAGTAATACGTTGTATTCTGACCGCATGTGTTCTCATATCTGATATCTAGAATCTAAATTATGATGTCAATATTGCAGAGAGTGGAGAGAAAATATCTAAATGCTGCATGATTATGGTATTGTATTCCTATCATCCATCCTATTCAGTTATATTGGAGGATAGAGGTCTAGCTATCACTAAATTATTCAGGACGCTATTTTGCGCGTGTTAGATGTGTGTGTGTGTGTGTGTGTGACTGCACAACCCTTGAGGCACATTTAAGGCACATCACCCCATGTATCCCATACCTTATTGAATGTTTCAATAAATGCCATAGTTATCCTTAGATCTATCCATCAACATGGAGGAAATGTCATTGTGTTTTTGTGCTGGACAAATAGAGTTGCACATTATGGGTTCTCCTGTGTGCCGGGGCTGCTAATGGCCCTAATGATAAGGGGGTAATGTTCTGGCTTCTGGGGGCCAGTTATTGGGGCTTTATTTAGGAGACTATGAAGGGAGCATTTCCAGCAGATTAAATCCCGTCCACTCAGCCTTTCTCCCTCTGAGTCTACTCTTCTCCTGATCCCTGCCCTCTGAGATCCATTAGCATGATGCTAACCATCAATAATGAATGTCTATGCATTATGACAGACAACAGATGTGTGTGTGGGGGGGTTGGGGAACAGTAACTGATATACTGTTCTTATCAGTATAGTCATAAGAGTGTCAATCAACATTAGTACTATAAAGTGCTGAGGTAACATTCTGACAATAGCTTTTTTTTATTAATTTCCGAAAAAGGAAATCTATTCTGATTTATGCATTCAATATTTTAGCATACAATTTTAGGGAACTATGGTCTCAAATAATCACAGCTGATAATACACATGTCTTGTCAGCAGATATGAGACTGAAGACATGTTTGAAGTAGTGGTCAGATATTTAAAGAGCAGGGTGGCGAACTTCCAATATAAAGCCAAAATATAAAAATATTAATGACAGAAATCATGAAATTGCTTTTTCTACCTGATCAAACCATAAAAGAGTTTTGTTGGCGTAATACAGTCACATATTCAGAGTGATAAAGTGATGTTAAATACTCTTTTTAATTATAATACCACACATTTTCGATGCAAAACTGCAGATTTTTTAAGAAATTGTAAACTATCTTTTATGAAAATTCAATATAAACATTTGAAAAACTGAAAAGGTGCAAAATTCATGAACAAAATTGGTGGTTTTGGGCAAATGGGGTCTCACCTGGGAGTTGTAGAAAAATGGGCAAAGAAATTGGCGTGTGAAATTTGCATGCCAAGCCACTCCGGTGATGGCACAGTGGATAATACACATGCCTTTGGTGTGTGAGACACCAATGTGTCCCTGAGCAAGACACTTAACCCCTAGTTGCTCAACCCGATCTCATGGGAATTCGTACGAATTTTACATGGTGGCTATTTCGTCACAATTCGTACGACCTCACTCGTCCGAATTAGTACGATTTTGCTAAATTGTACATATTTTTTGAATTTGCTAAATTGTACATATTTTACGAATTAGGAATTGGAATTATGAAGTCGTACGAATGACCTACCCCTAAACCTACCCATCACGTGGGTTTAGACAAATCGTGCGAATTCGTACGAATTTGACACTTTTTCATCAAAAAATATATTGAAATCGTCTTCCATTGCGATTTCCCGTATATCTAAATGCTGTATGTTTAGATTTAGATTTACTTTTCACTAAACATATTTAGATATATCGAAGAAATCGTCTTCCATTGCGATTTCCTGTGTATCTAAATGTTTAGTGAAAGGGCACTTTCACTTTCGGCATAACGTCTGGAGACGGTTCAGTTCGGTTCAGTTGAACATCTGATTCAGTTCAGTTCGATGGCTGTTAATAAGAGGTAAAAATGATATAAACACTGTTCGTTTTCTCACACAAACCGCTCGTTTCGTGTGTACTTACATTTACGAGTCATTAAATCATGTTTAATTAGGACTTCTCTGTGCATGCTCTTTGAGGTGGACCCCCTAAACCTGCATTATATGACTGGCAGACAACACCGGTTTGACCGAAAAATTGTCAAAAATGAAAATACTGTGTAAACAAAGACACCTACATCTTGGATGCCCTTGAGGTAAGATAAAACATATCAAAAATGTATTTCAACTCAATCCCTTTAACCCAATCTGCATGCAATTACATCCATCTCTATAGGGCACAGCTAAAATGGTTCCCGCTGTATTAGTAACCAATGAAATTACTGCTCAACATTCAAATTATTGCCAATTGTTTGCTGTATCAGTTTGCAGCTCTCAAAGACCCTCCACCTTCCCCAGTTCCACCTGTATAGATCTGCTATGGGGTTATTCATGTATGCTTACAGCAGCATGTCTTGCTTGCTCATGCATGTCGGGAGTATGTTGAACGTATTGGCAGTGACAAGTTTAATATGGATTATATGAGAGACTATTTATATAGAGACATGGCACTTCCTCAATCCTTAATACAATTAAATAGGGAAAACCCGTAACACCAAAGATGGTGGTTGTATGCACATGCCCCGCCCCTCCCGCTGGACAGCTAATCGTCTGCTTTTAACGGTCAAGCCGGGAAACATTTAAGCCTATCGTCTGGTTCCACCGACGCATGTGCACAGTTGAGGTTTGCGACAGCGGAAAATATGAACAATGAAAAGGCGGCAGATTTGATGTGTTAGTTGTGTAAATATCAGACATCCCAAGTCTCCTAGAAGTTCCGGGAGTCTCCCGCAGATTGATAGCGGCTGCCTGATGACCGCGAATTAGTTCAAATCTCCCGAATCTAGAGCAAGCGAGCAGTAGCGCGCACTTGCGCATTTGCCCTTGCGCATTTGCAGTAAAAGTATAACCTGTGGGCAGGGGCGGAGCTAGACTCTCAGTACAGTGGGGGCGGAGCTTCATCATGGGGCCCTCTGCTACCAAGTCATTTTAAAATTAAAACTTAAAATGTTGGTGTTCAATTTTGCGTTTTAAAAATACAACAACCGTTCATTTTTTGTTTAGCAACGACCGTTTGGACATAATACGAGATAGAGTTCTTTATTAAATTTATTTTAAAAAAGAAACAATAATTACAGGAATAGCCTCTCTAAACCTCAAAGAAATAGAAAACCTCAAAGCATAGAAAATATCGCAAAAGTTTTGCGCAAATCTGTAATGGAAACGCGCCGGCGGCGTTTGAGGGGCCCCTAATTGGCCGCACCCAAGCACCCACGCTATCTCCGCTACAGCCTGTGGGGGAAAAGGCATTTTAAACCTTATTTTGGGGCAAAGTCATAAACTTTTATTAACATTATTATGATTATTAACAAACCAGCAATTTTTATCATATTTTGCTACTGTTTCTATACAAGCAGTTTTTATGTCCCTGTGACCAGTGAAAGTGCAGTTTTGAGTCTCTGCCCATTCATTTAGATAGGAGCCTGGTCTTGTTAGTCCGAAATAGCTGCCCGGAGGCGTTGCCAAGATGGCGGCCGAGTGGCATGACTTGCCTAAAATGACTTTGATTATATGTAGCCAAGAAAGCAAAGAAAGATCTCTCCCTTTACAATCACTCGTCTCAGTTTGCGATCTCACAGTTCCGTTAATCAATTAAGTTGTTGACAACTTAAGTTGTTGGCACAATGAATCTCTTATTTACTTTTTTGTCTATACTTTGTTAATGAGAGTATTCACGGGCGTGCAGAAGTCAGCACTGAACAAAAACTACTGCGTCTTCTTGTGCAGTGAGTGGATTCTGACTAAATGACCCTGATTGGCCACTGCGTTCAAGAGATCAACAGACATGCCTGTGATTGGCTACATTTCTCATCACTGCAAAAACATACTGTAAATTGAAACATTTGACAATCTCCAAATGTGTTTACTACCTACGTAATCGGATCAAAATCTATTTTAACAGCAATACTTAAAAAAATACGTCATGCATGTTCATACATGCATAAGATGACGTGGCCTGCAATGAACAGTATTTATTTTTCAAGAATCATATTAATGGATAATACATACAATATTTTGTTGTTTGTTCATACTGCTAAAACTAATGAAACTTTTTTCAATCTTGAAGATATATTAATGTGTAACTGTATTGTGAAACGTTTCTCATTTGACTATTTCCTTCGTGTTCATGTTGTTACAAATAGCACTTAAATAGCATTTCCCAGTGGAAGTGGAATGCAGGGGTTTTGTCACCACATCCACAACCAGTCAACAGTACTGAGGGAAATGGGGTTTTAGGAGTCGTTCTCGCCAACAAACAATCAAGTCCCTGTCAAATATAGTGGAAAGAAGCAGCTATAGGCTTTATGCACAACTTACTTCCGCATTCTCTGTAAAACAGGTCGCATCGCTTCCGGTCCAGGTCTTTTGTATGTGCTTCATGAAATTTTTTGCGGTTTTACTCAAGATAACTTAAAAGGAGCGAGCGAAGATTAGCATAACCAATATCCCTCACATGTGCAGATTGATATTTAAATGTTTTATATTTTTTATTCTTCACAGTAACGTTTAGATATTTAAATGGAATAAAACGCCAATAACAAAGTGAACTAGTTAGGTTAGCTGATTACCTTAAATATCCATAGATATCGTAGTCAGTTCTTACGGCCGTTAACACTTTCTCTGACAAGCGGATGCGATGATACACGTTTTCCGGTTTGGTCACGTGACGCACGGCATAAAGCCTATTGGCTGTGGATTAAAATGAATGACATCAGCTGCGTAGCAAGATCAGGCGGGATGATATGGAGTTGACGGGGGTGTACCTGGGAAGCCAGGTGTCACCATCAAGCCCTCTGGAGATGTTGTGTGTCAACAAAACATCCATGAAAGAGGGTGCTCACCTGATGACCCCAATGATATTCCTACTCTCCCTTGTACCACTCAAATCTCACACATTCACTTTCCACAGGGAAGTCCTATTAGCTTTATAAAGACACATAGGCATGGGCATTTAATGTCAAATCTACTGTATTTATCCATATGAAATTCAAAATAAACATGGAATGCAATGCCTTGAGCAGGTGATATTTTAATTTATCAATGAAAAAGAATAAGAAATTTGACAACAGAACAAGTATGACTGAGAATACAGTTGTCTGTAATATAGCATCATGTGATGCAATGGGCTTTAAAGTCATCAGTTTTGGTTAACTCTTAATTTAAGATTATTTTGTTGTAGAAATAAAGTTGTATAATGTTTGTTTTGAATTTCATATGTTTATATACAGTTGGCTATTTGACATTAAATACGTCACATACTTTGTCTTAAGGTATTATTTAATGACATGAGCATAATATCACAATGCATTCAAATGGAAAACATTTAACAACACAGTTACACATTTATTAATAGTTTATATTTTTTATCAAAATAAAGTTGTATCTCATTGAACTAACAACTAACATTTACATGTATTCATTTAGCTGATGCTTTTATCCAAAGCGACTTACAATTGCTATATATGTCAGAGGTCGCACGCCTCTGGAGCAACTAGGGGTTAAGTGTCTTGCTCAGGGACACATTGGCGTCTTAAAGTGGATTCGAACCCGATCTCTCACACCAAAGGCATGTGTCTTATCCACTGCGCCACCAGCACCCCCACCCCCCCATCCACCCCCACTTAACTTGTGTTTGTATCCACTAGCCAATGTTAAAAAATATTGCTCATTAGACAAAGTGTCTTTATTTAAAAATTCTTAAATATCAAAATCCTCGTGAAAATTGCTTATATCTTAAACACACACACACACAAAAAACATTGCATGAATAAACGCGTTCACATCCGTTCTGTGGCTCCTGGTTTGATGTGGCTCCAGCAGCTTGACACTATTGACCAAATCTTTTTAGTTTTATGTACAGCTACTATTGTTCAGCTAACTGAGCCTTCACACTTTTGAGAGCAGGCGGGGGACAAATTTGCATATTCATGGCATGCGTACGCATATTAAATGAGGTAAGCGTGATGAGCAACATTCAAGCTATTTAAAGCTTGAAGAAATTATTTTCACAGGAAAAAACTCATCTAAAGGATTATTAGGAACATCTGTTCAATTTCTCATTAATGCAACTATCTAATCAGCCAATCATCATCAACCAATCACATGGCAGTTGTTTCAATGCATTTAGGGGTGTGTTCCTGGTCAAGGCAATCTCCTGAACTCCAAACTGAATGTCAGAATGGGGAAGAAAGTTGATTTAAGCAATTTTGAGCGTAGCGTGATTGTTGGTGCCAGATGGGCTGGTCTGAGTATTTCACAATCTGCTCAGTTACTGGGATTTTCACACACAACCATTTCTAGGGTTTACAAAGAGTGGTGTGAAAAGGGAAAAACATCCAGTATGCGGCAGTCCTGTGGGCGAAAATGCCTTGTTGATGCTAGATGTCAGAGGAGAATGGGCCGACTGATTCAAGCTGATAGAAGAGCAACTTTGACTGAAATATCCACTCGTTACAACCGAGGTATGCAGCAAAGCATTTGATGAAGCCACAACACGCACAACCTTGAGGCGGATGGGCTACAACAGCAGAAGACCCCACTGGCTACCACTCATCTCCTCTACAAATAGGGAAAAGAGGCTACAATTTGCAAGAGCTGTTAGAGTCAGAATTTGGCGTAAACAGTGCAGGCTGGTGGTGCAAGAGCTCAATTGACAGTTGAAGACTGGAAAATGTTGCCTGGTCTGATGAGTCTCGATTTCTGTTGAGACATTCAGATGATAGATTCAGAATTTGGCGCAAACAGAATGAGAACATGGATCCATCATGCCTTGTTCCCACTGTGCAGGCTGGTGGTGGTGGTGTAATGGTGTGAGGATGTTTTCTTGGCACACTTTAGACCCCTTAGTGCCAATTGGGCATCGTTTAAATGCCACGGCCTACTTGAGCATTGTTTGACCATGTCCGTCCCTTTATGGCCACCATGTCCCCATCCTCTGATGGCTACTTCCAGCAGGATAATGCACCATGCCACAAAGCTTCAAATCTTTAATCATAAATGTCTTTATCCTATTTAACTTAGCCATGACTCTGTTTTAGAGAACCAGCATTAAGCACTGAATGAAGAACACAAGTCTGCTAAACTGAAGCAAAAGAGTCTTCTGAGTTCTTCTACAGTCCAGTAATGGGAGAATGTAGTGACAACTGCAAGTAAACAGAAGCAGATGAAGGTAAAAAAAAAAAAAAAATCTCCCTGCGGGCTACAGTCAATAATGTTAAGTGGACGTTAAGTGGGTGGGGCCAAGCTACTTTAAAAAGCCAACTATAAATATATTGTTATTGCACTGTAGTGCAACGGGACAAACTCACGCCATTGGATAAGTTGTGTTGGGTTGAATAGGATGCTCATTGTATTTTTTTTTCTTTTCTTTTTAGAGACTATGAGAACGTCAGATGGTGAACAACCACACCTGGTTCTTTCGCATTACACACCACTAATGTGTTAGGAATTAATTTGAGCCTGTTAAGGTAAATTATATGTTAAACATCTGTTTTCATTCCAGTAGCCTAGCATTCCAAATGCCTCTTTTTCATGTCAACACTTTATCGCTGATGTGCTGTCAAGTAGCATTAGATGACTTATGAGGCTGTGAAAAGAACAGTTTGGAGTTTTCAGCGTGCAACACTTAATGTTGATAGATGAGGAACGCGGGTCCAAGCACAGGCCCTTAGGGAAGACCTGACAAACAGAGTGGAAATTACTGATGGAAGAATGTTTAGGGTTGTAGTGGATGACAGGAGGATGGTGGGTCTAATGTCGAGGGGTCTTGTGGACATGCCTTTCCCTGACCTTCACCCAAGGCTACTAAATATTAACAAAAAAGAATGAACAGAACTCAAAAGTAGGTTATCTGTCAATGTGATGTGTTGAACAAACCATTTATATGCTAATATTCTATAGGTATGAAAATCACAAATGAAATCTATTTAATGATTTCTCTGATTTTCTCCCAAGAAAAGACCCCAGTAATATCAATCATGTGTCAACAAGTGTCTCATTGTGTCTAGTATTTCTTCAAAAGGACTTTAATAGAAACATTCAGAATGTCTGAGAGCATTTTTATTTTCAAATTGAATACAACATTTTCATCTTTCATCCAATTATTTATTAACACCTAAAAAGACACCATGAATTCCCAAATTAGATACGCGATCTACAAATCAATACCTCATATTGTGTGACAACTTTAAAATGTTTCAAAACATTATATTTTTCTGTTTATGTAAAAGACATTAGACTTTTAGGCCTCATTGAAGTTATCAATGTATAAATTAAACATAAATGAGAACTCCAGAGAGAATGTTTCTTAACATACTTAAAGAGCAACTAAACCCTAAACCAACTTTTTTTAGTTAATGATCTGTAAGAATGGATCTCATTGATTCGAGTAACTTTTTTGACATTTGTGTATAAAGTGTTTTATTTCTACGATATATGGTGTAAAAAAGTCTAAGTGCTGCCCTCTTCAGGTTGAACAGTGGGTACTGCAGTTGAATTTTCCTATCGGATGTTCCGCACTTCGTGACGTACGCAGGTTTCAGCTCACCACGCTCTTGGTACGAGCTACGCCCTTGGCAGTATGCCAGCTTGTTTCGTCAAAACCACTGTAGCGAGTCAGGAGTTGGAATTGCGAGTATTGAAAACGATCAGGATTGAGTGTTTTAGCATCTATTTCGTCCCCTCTATCTCCGCTGGGGTCTGCCCACTCCTTTCAGCATTTTTCAAATATTGCCAGTGGGTGGAGTCAGGCTCTGACCAGGGGTTTAGTTACCCTTTAAATACACTTCTAATAATGTCAAATTAAAAGTTTTACCTTAAAATAAAAAAAAAATTAGGGCTGGGCAACGATTAATCGCATCCAAAATAAAAGTTTGTGTTTACATAATGTGTGTGTATAAATATTTTGTATTTATAAATACACACACATGTATATATTTAAGAAATATTTGCATTATATATATATATATATATGCATAATTAATATTATTTATAAATATAAATATTTTATATATTAATAACACATTTTTCTTAAATATATACATGCATGTGTGTGTATTTATATATAGAAAATAATTATACACACTACGCACACATATGTAAACACAAACTTTTATTTGATGCGATTAATCGTTGTCCAGCCCTAAAAATATGCATTCATATGTCTTTTTTTTTAGGGAGCTATGAATCTCTAAAAAAAAAATACTAAAGGATGACTATTTTTGGTCACATTTATGGCTAATCGTTTTTTCCATTCATCTCTCTCTTTCTATCTTGTCTTGTTCAGCTGGGTCATGCAAGCAGACGTGTGGGAGATCATTTGGGAAGTGGTGGGATTCTGGCAGGCTCTGGACCAGTACTTGGCTCAGGACCAGCCTACAGTATGTAAATAAAAAAAAAAAACTCCAACTCCCACACCTCGGTACAAGCACTTGTAAGTGCAACAAACACAATGTACCACAGGATTTTGCCTTTTTAAGTGAGAATTAATCTCACTTAGAGCCGTGAGTGGCCCAGATTGGTCTCTAGGCACTCCAGACAATGTTTTGTCAAGTCTCATTTCCTAAAAGCATTTCCCCTTTAACTACTAATTTCCATTCACAGCTCGAAAGCCCTCTGCCTCCCCTCAAGTGAGAGTTCAGCACAGGAAATGGCATTTTAAATAAGGCAGCTGCTTCATTTGAGTAACACTGAGGCCAGCATCTCTGTGGATACTCACTGTCAAGACACTGTTCACACTCGGTCTGTGTCGCTCCACAGGGCTTCTTCATTCCCTCCCCGGGTTGGCATTGTTTGCAGCACTCTCCACTGAATGTGAACGCCCTTGAAGGACACAAGTCCTGTGAAGACAAGACATTCCCCTATAGAGAGAAAGAGAGCAAGATATTATAACATGTTTTTGTTATAATTGTGAATAACTCATTTATGTGTATGTTTCATTCTCCAAAAATTACATTAGTATGTCACAATATATATTTTGTGTAAATACAGAAATGTTATCTGATGAATGCATTTAAAATGTACTGGGACTTCACTTATGGTGCGTACAAATTTGTGTCCAATCAAATGCTCTAGAATGAGGATGTCCCTCTCTGTAAAGGTATACATCAAAATTTTGAAGGAATCGATAGGAATCTACATGATCGCGAATTCAGCATGAGGAAACCGAAACACGTGACGCAAACAGATTACACAACGGATGCCTGTTTGTTGAACTTTTAACATGCAAATTCGCCGGGTTTGCAAACATACAGTTGCTTGGTTTGGAGGTGACCACTACTCGATAGACAACTGACATGAAGTTTTTTGTGACTAGTGTTTTTCTGACGTCACAAACTACCTTGTAACCAATCACGTCAACGAGTGGATCTCTGAGTGGGTGGAGGCGGGGCTAATTTACATATTAATAGAATTATGTTTTTTTTTTCAAGCAAATATCATTTTGGTGATTAAAGGTGCGTTTTAAAGGAGTAGTTCACTTTTATAAATCCTTTTGCTGATAATTTACTCACCCCCATGTCATCCAAGATGTCCACGTTTTTCATACTTCAGTTGAAAAGAAATTAAGGTTTTTGATGAAAACGTTCCAGAATTTCCTCCATATAATGGACTTCATTGGGAACCAAACGGTTCAAGGTCCAAATGAGAGTTTCAGTGCAGCTTCAAAGGCCTTTAAACGACACCAGACGATGAATAAGTGTCTTATCTAGAACCCCTCGAGTCATGACTCGAAAAAAGATTTATTTTGATGAACGAGTTCGAACAGGAGAGTCACGAACGCGCACCACAGAACAGAGCAAGGCGACCAATTGAGCTTATAAAATTGAAATTTTTTATTTATTTTGAAAATGACGCTTGTTTTGCTAGATAAGACCTTTGCCTTATTCATCGTCTGGTGTCGTTTAAAACCCTTTGAGGGCCCGTCCACACAAAGACGCGTTTCGCTGTATACGTATACATTTTTTATCGTGTTGGTGTTTCGTCCACACGGTTCCGGCATTTTGGGAGAGTGAAACCGCTAAACGACACCCTTGCGGTTTCGTGTGTACAGCCAATCCGTATATTTTGTGAAACGATGATGTCATCACATCACGTGTCGGCTGCCTCAAAGTCTTCTTCTCCGTGTATAGTGTATCTCTGTGGCAGAATTACAGCGCCCCATACTGGTCTGGCATATATTACACCGTTTTCAGTTGGTTTCAGTGGTTTCGTGTGTACGCAGATATTTCTTGAGACGTGTTTACGATTTTTTTTTTTCCGAAAAAAAATATTGGATGGGAACGTAACGGCTTTGTGCGGACGTGGCCTGAAGCTGCACTGAAAATCTCATATGGACCTTGATCCATTTGGTTCCCATTGAAGTCCATTTATATGGAGAAAATCCTGGAATGTTTTCACCAAAAACCTTAATTTCTTTTCGACCGACATCTTGGATGACATGGGGGTGAGTAAATTATCAGCAAACGTTTTTTTTTTTAAAGTGAACTGCTCCTTTAAGGGATACAATGAATGAACAGGGGCACTTTAAGCCATTTCATTAAGTCATAAAGAATAATACACTATGGTACTTTTACTTTGAGTGGCCCGACATCATGTCAGCTTTTCGATCAACCAATGGCATATGTTTAGGGAGGGACTTCCTGTTTGTTTTAGCTAACATACAATATTACAGCTATACAATTTGAGAGAAATAAAGCAATATAGGAAATTTTGAAAAAGCCTGCAAATGTAGATACATAAACCGTACAGAATTTTCCCACTCCTATGTAGTGTCTATCTCCAGGGGATGCAATCCCCAGAAGCTGACAACTTTTCCCACACAGACTCAGAGCCAAAATACTATTTATATAACAATAGAGCAAGACTTATTTAGTCTTGATAATATCTAATGATGCCTATAAACAGCATTACTTTGGAGAAATCAGAGCGCTTCAAAAGGGAACACACGCATTTTACTAGAAAATCTTCATGGTACATTTAACCTTAATTCAATTCTCCGAAAACAGCCTTTCGTTTGAACATCTATCTGAATGATTGACAGGTACAGCCAAAGAATGGCAGCTGATCAGGGCATTCTGTCTTTCAAAGCATGTCTTCTGTCACAGATTTGTATTTACGTTCACAAAATAAAATAGCAAATAATTTATGATGCCTGTAAGTCATTCTTGGAAAGCAATGGACGCACATCAGGGGCCTCATTCGTGGACCACGAGCAGAATTATTTATGTTGTAATCGTTCGTGAAATTAGTGTTTTGTGGAAGCTACTTTAGAGTAAAAGAAAAAAAAATTAATAACGATTTCGATTACGATTGCGCATTACAGAACAGAGCAAGGCAAGCATTTGTGCTTATAAAACGTAATCTTTTTTCTGCTTTCATTTATTTTTTAAATGAGCGATCGTTTCGCTAGATAAGACCCTTATTCATCGTCTGGTGTCGTTTAAAGCCCTTTGAACAGTTTGCACTGAAACTGTCTTTGGACCTTGAACTGTTTGGTTCCCAGTAAAGTCCATTATATGGAGAAAAATCCTGGAATGTTTTCATGAAAAACCTTAATTTATTTTCAACTTAAGAAAGAAAGACATGGACATCTTGGATGACATGGGGGTGAGTAAATTATCAGCAAAAGTTTTTTGAAAAGTGAACTACTCCTTTAATATCTTGCAAATGAATCTTAATATATCACAATGTCACTTTGTATCTAACAATTGCATCTTTTTCATCTGTAAGTCTAGCCTGGGTTTTTACCCAGCGTGATTTCATTTACACTGCTAAGCAGCCTGGATTACATGGACCAGATTTTCACTTCAGCGAGAGGACCAATCACAGAACGGGGAGGGAGCAGCAAGACGATGACGACGTCTATGCGACACACCGAAGCAGTTTGTTTATTTCTTTGGATCCAACATGGCAGAAGACGCGAAGGTACCTTCTACCCTCATATATTCAGCGCAATAGTTGTGTACGTGTAATAGTGTACACATAAACCTGTCGCTCTACATATATCTGGTATAACTTAAACGACTGGCTAGAGCTAGTACAGGCGCATTTGATAGACATTCGGCTCTGGGCATTCGTGAACCACGCCTCAAATACGAGAAAATGAACATGTGGTTCCCAGACCACGTCTCAATCTCAATGAGACGAGGTCTGACGTTAGCCAGGCTACTGTAAGTCATTCTTGGTACACAAATCCATTCTTTGTTCTCAAAATTACCTACAACGATGTGATTTTGGTTGAAATACTGACACAAACTGACTGATAAATAATAGGTTTTGGCACTAGTGCTACAAAAAAAGAAAACAGAAAGGGATGGTCATTATGGACCTCATTCGTGAAACGTGAGCAGAATACATTTCTGTTATTTTCTGGTTTAAAAATTAAGTGGAATAACTCAATGTGTTCATGCTGATGGTAAACAATCAGGACTATTGGAAATTGTTAAAGGTGTTCCCCAAGGATCTGTGTTGGGGCCTCTTACTGTACACAAGTCTTGATTGTGATATTCAGGATGCAAATTTTCACTTTTGTATTGTGGTGGACCTTCTAAACAGCGAGCTTTGCTTAAGCTTCAAATGGCTTCTGATGTCATTCTGTCACGGCTTAATACACCAATGATTGTTTTGAATGCTGATAAAACCAAGCTTATGTTATTTTCAAGATGGAAAAAGGTAATTGACAATCTTATTCCTCTCCTGAGGTAATGTGATTGAGTTATCTTGGCATCATTGTTGATGATACATTATCTTTTAACTCTCAGGTAACTCAATTAAAGAAACAAATCTAAATAAAGCTTGGGTTTTATTTTAGAAACAAGTTTTGTTTTTCATTAAATGTAAGAAAGAGGTTTGTTTCTGCTACTTTTTTGCCTTTACTTGATTGCGGTGATTTGGTGTATCAATTTGTTTCTTCTTATCTTCTCTCTTCTTTGGATGCCGTTTATCATAGCGCTTTAAGATTTATATCAGATTGTAAGCCTTTAACTCATCATTGCACTTTGTATAACAGAGTAGCCTGGCCCTCTCTGTCCATTATAAGGAAAATGCACTGTTACCTAATTATTCTGGGGTTGTTGCCTTCTTAATAGTCTTATTCCCTCCCGTCTCAAAATTGTTTAATTTTTTTTGACCAGGACACTCCTGTGAAAGCCATTTTTAATCTCAGAAAGATTATAAAGGTCAAATAAGAAATGAAAATTAAATCTTGCAACTGTAATTTTAATTTTTATAATTGTGCCTCCCAATTGCAATTTATGTATCTAATTGTGCGTGTGTGTGAGTTTATAAATTTTTTCTTGTATTGGTAACTTTATATCTCAAAGTGTAGCTTTATTTTTGATTTTTTTTTCTTTTTTTTTTTTTTACTTTTTGAGACAGTTTAATGCTTATTATGTAACAATAATTCAGGAATGCTTTGTGTATTTTCTTATTCTCTTGATGAGAAATGGTATTTTCCCACTTCCAAATCTCACATTGTCATGCCAGTCATGTGCGCATCACATAAATACGATATTTCCAACATAACTTGAAGGCAACATAAGCCTCACACTGACACAGCTGTTTCATGGATGATAAATCTGAGGGTGTAACATGAATGCCAAGAGGTGATTGGCTGGCTGTCAGAGTAAGGACGTTTAACACAGGTGTTTGGAATGACGTTTAAAAGAGTGAGAAGAAAGACAGAGAGAAAAGAATAAAAGAAAGCGAGATTAGATAAGTCCCTCAAGGCGTTTGTGAGTCAGCTGGAGAAGTGACAGAGATGAGTGAAAAAAAAAAGAGGAGGTCGGGTAAGCTCAAATTAACATTCCCTTCGTTTCTACCTGTCCCTCACATTACCCCCTGGCATGGGTAACCTCCTCCACACACACACACATTAAAACACAAACACACCCCTACAGGAGCATTCCAACTCAGGTAAAGTTCAACAATCCGAAAAAAATTTCAGCAGCCCATGACTCAAATTGGTAACTTCAGAGATTTGGCTGCACAAAGTTTTTAGAAATGTGTGAAGGGTCAAAAACAACAACGCATGTCATAGAACCAGTTTGCAGAGACATTCAGCCGTACTGAAGCTGCTGTAACTTGTGCCGTTTTGTTTAGGCAGATACAATCAGTAGCGAAACGTTTCAAAGCATATTTATGTTCATTACTCATGCGACTAAGAATGCTTTCATCAGCATTTGGCTGGTAATTTGTCAAATCATTTGTGTCAAATCTTTTAAAATGTTCTATAGAAAATGGGAATGGTGTTTGTCCTGCAAAATCACACGATGCAAGCATTTGAAAGCGTGCTGCTAAGTCATTTCTAAGGTGTTCCACTTCCGAGTGAGTCAAATGTATTTGTATAGTGCTTTGCACAATACACATTAGGGCTGGGCGATATGGCCAAAAAAAATTATCACGATAATTTTTTTTATATCAGTCGATATCGATAATTATCACGATATATGTCAAATATTTATTTTTTTCAAGTTTAAAGGCAGATTTTTGCAACTAAGTGAAAGTTGTATAAACCAGAGTGTTAATTGTGTTTTTAAACTACTCTTTAAATTTATGTTCATTAACAAAAACAGTAACATCTGTTTTTTTTTTTTCCCCCTTTTTTTTTCTTATGTAACGACCACATTTTTATTTGGTAAAAAGTAATATTCTTCTGACTGTTTGAGTTGTATTCAAATTAACCATTGGTCATTCAGTCTCATGCATTTAGATCATGATAACCACAGATAAAACCAGGTATAGCCTATAACTTAGCTCCTCACTATTATGGCATAACTTTATGGTTTCTGTATTTTTTGAATGAAAAACAATAGCCTAACAGCTAAATAAATACATTATTAAATACTGTACTTATATTCCATTAGTCATAATACATTGTCAACATTAATAATATTATACAATTCAATATGTATCCCACATTTCATGGTGCAGTTAATATTAGGCCTACCAGGCTAAACTTACAGTAAATCCATGGTAGGCTAAATGGATTCAGAATCAATTCAGATTCTGACTGTATCATTGCAGTTTCTCCTTTTTGTCAGCGGTGTTTCATCTGCCTTTAAACTGGTTTAAACTTGACATTTGTGTTCTTCGCTGAACTCAAGTGCTTCTCACTGGATCTCGTGAGCAAAACGATCAGAGGCGCGTCTGCGTGAGCTCGCGCTGCACTCAGCGCGCTGCCATTTGGACTTTGAGCCGAGCGCATAAATGCTCCGTGTGGCGCGCGCGGTTTAAATGAGTTTCGTTTCGCTTTTTTGACGCATAAACATTATCGAACATTTATCGACCTCTTGATATCGTTTTATCGAGGAAAATTATATCGCGATAATTATCGTTATCGTTTTATCGCCCAGCCCTAATACACATTGTTTCTAAGCTTTACAGAAAATATGTTAAAGGTGCTATATGTAGAATTGAGAAACCCTTGTTATTAGCGACACCGGTGGACGTTAAATGAACTGCAGCAAGCAACGAGCACACATAACGTTCATGGGAGTTATTTTAATGCCCTGACATACTCACAGCAAAGTTCTTTTATGATTTTTTTTTGTAGGGATGGCCGATGTGAAAATGACCATACCGATAACCAATCATTTTCCTTTTTTTGAAGTGATTCAGATCATATTTCAAGCAAATCAAAACAATCATGGTGAACATTGCACATCTGAAGTGTTTCAGTCAGCTGAAGGAAATAATCCATTATCCATCATATTCAAATATATTGGCCAAATTTTCTTATTGGGCCGATAACGACATTAAAAATGAACATATATCGGCCGATACCGATATGTATATGTGTGTGTGTGTGTGTGTGTATATATATATATATATATATATATATATCACACAGCCGAGATATATATATATATATCACACAGCCGAGATTTGCTATATAGTGTATACTGAACTGTATGCAGGGTACGTATACTATATATCCAACTTTTAATATATAGCTGCATGATAATAAAGGGTATATCTATTTTAGATATAACATTTAAGCAGTTGAGATTTGCTGTATACACAATGTACTGTATGTATTCGCGTTAGGTTGGTATACTAATTCATTATTTATTATTTCATGAATTAATTTGAGTTATTAATTCCTTTAGTGATGAAATTGAGAATTATGAAGACTGTGAGGATTTGTTCATCGTTTGTTTATTGTTCACACCCTCTAACCGAAGAGACAGCTCTCTCTTTATTTTATTGAATTTTTTATTATAAAATTGTATTTATTATAGGCATTAGCACATTATTATTTAATAAATGCACTAAATATCATCAACTATTTTTTATTTATTTATAGATGCCAATGTTCTCCTTTGTAATACTGAGAACCAAACCGAAATAACATCATTCAAGTGAATTGTTATGACATACTGAATAACCACAGAATGATTGGCAATGTAAGCACATATCGTGCGGCAGAATTTGTCAGATCTGCAGAATGTTTCTCCTCCCATTCGATCTGTCACATAGGCTATGATGTTTGTGAGCTGTTGTTTGTATGCTTGAATGCACTTAACTCCTAACCCTTTTAGCCCGTTGGCATTTGTCAACATTTCAAAGTCGTCCACTGTTCTGGCAAAGCTGACTCACTAATGGTCATACTGGAGCTAATGAAGCTCTTTCATTCTCTCTCGCTTAGGTTTTCTACTTTAAATCTATATGATTTTCTAAATTTTCCAGAAGCCTTTTGTTTGCCTTTCGCAAAAGACTTTTGTTTTTTACTTTACTTTTCTACATCCTCAGCTTGTAAAGGCTCTAGAATTGTAGTTGGCAATTTGGCATAATGAGACATGGCAAGCTCTAAAAAGTCATCAAACCACATTTGGGGTCAGTTTCTCAAACCTCAGTTACTCAAACCCCCCTAGATTAAACTTTTCGATTTTTGTCTGGTAGATCAAAAAAAAAAAAAAAAATCATATACTTATTTTTGAAGGTGGGACCTGAGTCATATCTAGGGATAAAAATCTCATAGAGAGTTGGGCCAGTTTGCAACCACTTTATAGTGAGCTCCACCCAGTACACATTTGCACGTCTGCGTATATAACTTTTGCATGGGGAAAGAACCACACACATATTCATAAAATGTGAATTCTGTGCATGTGTTTAAGACAGACATGTTTCATGCCATATATAGGCTAACTTGCATGATATTTTGAGTTTGTGAAACAGTTGCGAACTGCCAGAACTTTTTCATTTGTTTTCTCCTATAATGTCTACACGTACTTGGTACTATTTTTCTTCTAAGCAATTAATAACATCTGTAAAAAAATGTTATATTACCTAAGTGTTTGTATTATGGAAGAATTCAGCTACCAGAAAAATGACACTAATATGAAGGACACGGGCTGGCATCCTCTTGACGGCGAGTCCGCGACATACAGTAATTATTGCCCACACGCCCATCGTGCTGTTCAGATGGGTGTAGTTTTGAAACAAGACAAGACATGTGACCACAACACAGGAAATTGGCACAAACATGGAGAATTAAGCAGTTAGGCTCACAAATGTGCCTGCAGTTATGTGGTGTACTTGACAATGAATCACTGACACTGCTTTTGCTTCAATAGCACACACATACACCCCTCATTCAACCCAAACTAGATAACAATTAGCCTGGAAATAAGATTTCAGCTACTGAGACAAGTGCAAGAACACAATGTGCTATCTATCAAAGTGGGCGTGACAATTGGAAGCCTCATTGTATGATGACGTTATATATTATGTATGATAATTATATAATAAAGGCTTCATAATGCACTTAATAATTTATGCTATTAAATTTTTTCATAAACAATTATAAACCATTACAACGCGTGTCTGCTTTGTTAAACATTTAAAGCATTGAATGCATTATAAAACATGACATTGTGTTTTGATCGTGTTGTAATGCATTGTGCTCTTAAAAGATGCATGAATAGATTAGTACTATATTTTAAAGCATTTTAAATTATTCATGAGAATATTCAATGCATCTGATTATAAAGAGTTAAATGAGTTATTATAAATGCAGTACAGTACCCAAATAACGTGAATTCAGGTTAATTGAGACTTTGCCATATATACACTCTATACAATGCTGGGTTGTTTCAACCCAAATTTGGGTCAAATATGGACAAACTCAAATGTTGGTTTAAAAGTTGGGTTAAAATTTTAAATTACATTTTTAACTCTTGGGTTTGTCCATATTTTACCCAAATTTGGGTTGAAACAACCCAGTATTTTTTAGAGTGTATATATATATATATATATATATGAAGAGTTCAGATGCAAAAGCCTCTAAATGCCATTTGAAATTTTCTATCAAACTTGATTTTTATCAAACTTGTATATTTAAGTTCAGTAATTTCACTTAAATAACAATTAATAGGTAATTATCATTGCCTTTTAAGTGAAATTACTGAACTTAAATATACAAGTTTGATAAAAATCATCATTAAAGAAGAAAATTTCAAATGGCATTTAGAGGCTTTTGCATCTGAACTCTTCATAAATATATATATATATATATATATAGTAAATATCTACATATTAGTGCTGTCAAAAATCACTTACAACCAATCACATCTAACATAAAAGTATGCATGCATGTGTCTTATATATGGTATATTATAAAATAAATCAATATCATAAAACATATTTTATGTAATCTCAAACTCCACAATCAAAAGGCAATAATTTTACAATTTCTTTACGTCTGCAAACTTATTTTTAATAGTCTCAGTCTGCTATATCAATGATATTCCACTTTCTCAAGTGTGACTAGAAAAAGTAGGCTACTAGAACTAATATTGAGTTGGAGACAGTGTACTCACCACCACGAGCAGAAACACTACAGTCACGGTGAACATGCTGGATGAAGGGCGTCCTGGATGAAGTACACCGCGGATCGATTATTCACTCTTTACATGGGCTCTGAAATAATACATTCAGCGTCATACTTCCTTCATAGACTCAAATCGCTCTGATCCTCATTTGTGTCCGCTTAAGTTTTACAAATAAGCGAATAGCATTATTGAGCAATCGTGGTCTTGAGTGCGGGTTTTCCAGATGAATTCTTCTGATGTTTGGTGAGGAGTCTCTTCCTAAATGAGCCGCAACTGCAATCAGTGCGCCTGTCCACTGATAGAAGCTCAGAGCAGAGTGAACGATTTACATCCCCTCTCTCTCTTTCTGACACACACACACACACACACACACACACATGTCAGTCCAGAGTTTTCCCCTCCCAACCGCATCCACATCCCATCGACACAATAACTCAGTTGCAGTGCATTAAAACAAAACAAATAAACCCGTAATAGGAAACGCGTCTGTCACGATTTAGTTTGGTATTGTTGGAGTGAGATTAAGAAAATCTTTATTTCTATAATATTTGAATCAAAATATTATTTGAATTAATTTGGTAAGTGTCTTTTGTGGGTAAATTATGCACTCAGTAGCCTATAGCCTAAGATATAAGTTAGATAATTGCAGCAGCATCTTAAGAGGTTATAAATCATGCGAAGTGACAGTTTAGGACGCATTAGGCTTTCATGAAACATTAAACTGTAACAAAGTAACAAGAAACCTCTTCCTCTCTGCGGAAGGAAGCGCGTGAGTTCACAGACACACACACACACACACTCACCAGGGCTGAAGAAGTAAAATCCTCCACTAGAGGGCTCACTAGATCTGCCAGAGTTCAGGTAGATCCCCCCTTTTCTTCACAATATAGCCTGCATGTCCCCATTTCTACCCATAAAGTAGTTTGGACACTTGACTTAAAGTGCTCCTATTATGGTTTTTCGTATATTACCTTTCACTCAATGTGTTATATACCTGTTTATGAAAAGTTCCGCATGGTTGTAAAGTCGAAAGTGCACAATAAATAAAGTTATAGTCTTCCAAAAGAAAGAAACGACCTTTATAAGTCGTTTATTGGAATCCTACCACTTTACGGTTCTATACAACCTGCAAACAGCTTGTCCAGCCCTCGACTGCTTCTCAAATCAGAAGTTCAGAGTTCAACGCGGGAATCACAAAATGCTTTATATAGAAAGATGGGTCACCAAGGTATTTTCTACCGGGTGTTCTGTGTTTTATATTGTGTACGTTTCCGACTAAATCTGTCACTGTACTGAAATACACTCACCTGAAGGATTATTAGGAACACCATACTAATACTGTTTGACCCCTTTCACCTTCAGAACTGCCTTAATTCTACGTGGCATTGATTCAACAAGATGCTGAAAGCATTCTTTAGAAATGTTGGCCCATATTGATAGGATAGCATCTTGCAGTTGATGGAGATTTGTGGGATGCACATCCAAGGGCACGAAGCTCTCGTTCCACCACATCCCAAAGATGCTCTATTGGGTTGAGATCTGGTGACTGTGGGGGCCATTTTAGCACAGTCAACTCATTGTCATGTTCAAGAAACCAATTTGAAATGATTCGAGCTTTGTGACATGGTGCATTATCCTGCTGAAAGTAGCCATTAGAGTATGGGGACGGTGGCCATAAAGGGATGGACATGGTCAGAAACAATGCTCAGGTAGGCCGTGGCATTCAAACAATGCCCAATTGGCACTAAGGGGTCTAAAGTGTGCCAAGAAAACATCCCCCACACCATTACACCACCACCACCAGCCTGCACAGTGGGAACAAGGCATGATGGATCCATGTTCTCATTCTGTTTACGCCAAATTCTGACTCTACCATCTGAATGTCTCAACAGAAATCGAGACATTGAAACATTTTTCCAGTCTTCAACTGTCCAATTTTGGTGAGCTCTTACAAATTGTAGCCTCTTTTTCCTATTTGTAGTGGAGATGAGTGGTACCCGGTGGGGTCTTCTGCTGTTGTAGCCCATCCGCCTCAAGGTTGTGTGTGTTGTGGCTTCACAAATGCTTTGCTGCATACCTCGGTTGTAGCGAGTGGTTATTTCAGTCAAAGTTGCTCTTCTATCAGCTTGAATCAGTCGGCCCATTCTCCTCTGACCTCTAGCATCAACAAGGCATTTTCGCCCACAGGACTGCCGCATACTGGATGTTTTTCCCTTTTCACACCAATCTTTGTAAACCCTAAAAATGGTTGTGTGTGAAAATCCCAGTAACTGAGCAGATTGTGAAATACTCAGACCGGCCCGTCTGACACCAACAACCATGTCACACTCAAAATTGCTTAAATCACCTTTCTTTCCCATTCTGACATTCAGTTTGGAGTTCAGGAGATTGTCTTGACCAGGACCACACCCCTAAATGCATTGAAGCAACTGCCATGTGATTGGTTGATTAGATAATTGCATTAATGAGAAATTGAACAGGTGTTTATAATAATCCTTTAGGTGAGTGTAGTTTTGCTGTGGCCCACTGTTACCTAACCTAATACAGTGTCTATAGTAGGGGTGTAACAATATATCATGTCACAATATATCACAATGCAAAATGCATCGTATCTTGGATGGCGACAATATGTATCGTTATCGTTCACCCAAAATAAAATTACTGTGTGAGACAAAATTCAAGTTTTTGGAGTTTTAGTGTCAGTACTACTACATTAAAGTATAATGTAATAAAGCAATTATGGGGGAATATGGGTCCTGATAATGCTAAATGTCTTAATTTACCTGTAAAAACTGGCCTACATGATTTTAAATATTTCTAGTCAGTGACAGAGTGCAAGCTGTATGTTTGAACATGAATATTTGTATTCTGGTGTCACTGCTGTCCTGTGCTTTGGGTTTCCATCCAAGCCAATTCACCACAATGTACTATCAAATTTACCATTGCAATCAACAGTACATTTTTTGATAACTTTTATCATGCATCGCAATAATATCGTATTGTGGGTTACTTACACCCTATAATCTATTAATGAAGATTGTCTGTCGTTCTTACAACTTTGAGTAAAGATAAAGGATGGAGCTGATTTGTTTTACAAATGTTTGTTTGTGAACATGCACCGTTACAGTGCCCACATGTGCACCGTAAGATACATCAGTTTGTTAGTTATGGTTATGATACGTCGTTTCCGAAACACGTGCTGTATGAGGTAGACCAATCACAACAGTCTGGGCCATCTGGCCAATCAGAGCATGATTCATGATTCTGATTCATCCTGGATTCATCGGACAGTCGTTGAACGAGAATCATTGAACAATGTGGTGGTGATGTGCAATTTATATTATAAGAAATGTACACTTTGATGCATGTAAACCTGTTGTTGAAAATCTCCAGAACAAAAATTAGGAGCCTCTACAATAGCATAATAAGGGCACTTTAAAGGTACACTTTGCCCTCTAGCGGTTAAAAAATAAAACTGCATGTGTATTGCAGAAGAGTCTCTTTCACTGAGCATTGTGCATACACACAAATGTGTGCGTAAAATCTGCTTACATACGTTTTCACTAACTAATCATAATTCACCAAAAACGTTCGTTCTAAATTTTAAGTAAAAATGTGGGAACAACTGAAAACACACAAAGCACTTTCTCTGTGCGGCCTTATACTAACTGTTATTTATAGCCTATTTCATCTTAACACAATTGTATTATATTATATATTATAAAATTAATAAAAAATAGCCTACAATTTAATTTAATCTGAAATATATTTCAAAGTATACAGTGAAAGAGTAAGAAAGCCGTGTAACAAGTTTGACTCTCTACCCAATAGGCCACAACTGCCCCCACCTTTTCTCGTAACCATTTTTGCAAATTATTTTTTTATCAGCTGATATCAAGAAGTTCGCCGGTCTCCAAGTAAAGTAACCACAGCTGAAGTTTATCACAACTATATGGACATGTTCCAGTAACCTTGACAAATAGCAATTCATATTACTTTATTCACTCTTTGTTGATCCCTAATCTCTGCCCATGTTTATTTTCATAATTTAAATCCTAACTAATTTATTTCTGTGAAATCATTTTCTTGGGAAACTTACTACGCTATATTTTGTTATAAATAAATTGCTTGGTTTGATATTATGTAACGCACAGGCATCTACATATTCTTAAATGTGGCTTATGGTTTCGGTAAATGTTGTGTGGAATATCAAATCAACCACAAATGAAGATGCATGTGCTCAGCCCTGGCAGTCTATGCCTGGGAACCACTGCAAGAGCCAACAGGGTCAACAAATCTTACAGAGCACTTGGAAACAACTAAAAAATGACATACAGACTACACACCATATGCAGCACAGCATTACAGAACAGCAGAACTATCCAAACACAACAAAGGAAATAGAAAATATACCACATTCTTATCCCAAGGAGGGTCATTTTTACGGAAGGAGAATAACAAGACAACACAAATCTTCTGAGAAAAACATGGGAACAAATTAGAGAACCCATTTAGAGCAAGAAGATGTCAAGTAATGGTCATTTCCATTGCATGAATTATTTCTGGTGCAGAACAACTCTTTTCATGCATTGGAAAAGCAGTAAAATGTTGCAGTAAAAATGGTTTCAGTTTTATACCTAAAATAGACCTCATTATTAAAATTAAAGAAGAGAATCTCAAGAAAAATATTTTAATGCATGTTACCGGCGAACATTGAAACATTTTAATAGTAAAATGAACAAATACAAAACGAAAGTATAAGCCAGCAGCCCCTCATTGACGACTGCTATAAAGTTACACACAACAGAAAAAAAGCACAACATAATCAGGCTTGTTTCTCTCTCGATCTGTCGTCGTCGCTCCTCATTTATGCTTTCGCTCCTCGGTGAGAGACGCGAGACCCGGCACACGTCTCACAGGTGTCTTCATTATCACTCACGCCACCGGCCTCGCGCCGTCCTTTACGTCCCTCGCCCTCGTCCTGCTCGCCACAGCCAACTAACTATACATTTTGTGTGAAATGAATTTCAAACTCTGGTGACAGCTAACGTTAGCCTTGTAGACGGAAGAGTGATTTCTCTGATGTGTGCGCAGTTCCGGATTAGTGGGTGTGGCTTGTGGAGCTGTGCAATGTGGTGGGAGTTGTTGTCTTACATACAAATGCGCCATTCGGTTATTTTCTGTCTTTTCTCGGTCAAGAGGGCACCAAATTAAAATATTATTTTACATTTCGATAAATATATATATAACATATGTGATCCACTTTCAATAAAGATTAATGTTGAAATGGGTGAAATGCTCCTTTAAATGCAAATGAGCTGCTGCTTCCGCCCATTCAGAAGAGT